TTCTGGGATTATCCGCAATCTATAATCCATAATCCCTATGGATTAGTGTGTCATTGTAGATCTGACGTTGCTTTCAAGTTGTTTATGGTTATCGTAAATCACAACCGTAAACAACTGTTAATTTTCATTACTTGGAATTGACGTAAACTTTCCCCTATAATTCATGTACAACAATCCTTTAAAAAAATGTTAGGATTTTTTCTTCACGCAACTGATTCTTGGAGATGTTTTAATTTTCTGTCTGGTTTGGACTAGTTCATCATTTCCTTCAATTAAAGTTTTGTATTTTAGTATGATATTTACCGACTGTACCAGCAATACATTGTGTGTATATCAGCTGGTACTGGATCAATTGGCCATCTCTCCCCAATGGGGCTCCACCCCACTGATGCCACCCCTGTCATCACCATCATCATCATCATCATCATCTGTATCATCATAATCATCATTATGATCATCATCATCTGTATCATCATCATCTGTATAATCATCATCATCATAATCATCATCGACAGCATTATTCTCATCACCTTCATTCATCATATCATCATCTGTATCATCATCATGATCATGTTCATCATCATCACTATCATTCTCATCAAACATGTCATTATTGTATCATCATCTTTTTGTTCAACATCTTAATCACTATCACCATCATCATTATCAGCAGCAGTCAACAACATTATTGTTATCAACAGCATTATTATTGTCATCACCTTCATTCATCATATCATCATCTTTATCATCATCATCATCAACATCATTATCAACATCATCACAATCTTACTCATCATCAGTTTTTTTTTTCAATATATTAAACACAAGTTCACATAAAGATCAAAATTCTACAGGTAATACAGTAGATTAGAAAATTTTTAGATTAATCTGTTGCAAAATAATCTTTGATGTTGAAAAATGTTTAGAATGCTTGAGGTTAAAGTTGAATCGTTGACCTTTCTGCAATCTCTATTCAAACAGATTGCCTTGTTTGATAGATGCATCTGTCATGTTTGCATTTTGTCCGACAAGAACAGGTTGAATAATGATGCTAAAAGAAACTCGTTTCAGAATCGCCTCGCTATCATTCACGTGTTGATGCTTTCAGTTGCGGTCTTTTGTAATTCTATACTTGTCAATCTATCTTGGTTGTTTCAGCATTAGGCGCTATGTAAATTTTTTTTTAATTAAATGAATGATTGATTGATTGATTGATTGAATGAATGAATGAATGAATGAATGAATGAATTGTGAATGAATAAAATGATTGAAAGAATGAATGAAAGAATTAAATCGAGTTAATAAATTAATTAGTTGTATGAATTAAATGAATGGATGAATAAATAAATTGATAAATAAGTAAATGGACTGAATAAGTTAATGCATGAATGAATGAAGGAATAAACAGAATAATGAAGGAATGAATGAATTTAGTATTGATGAGTGGATGTAGCAGTGGTGGTGCCCGGACCTGCCCGATGGAGGGGCTAAAGCCCAGAGGGGGGGGGGGCTAGTGGAGCGAATAAAGTCTCACTTGGCTGGGGGCCAGGGGGCTGCCTAGTGCCCCCAGTGGGGTCCAGGGGGCTTCGCCCCCTGGAAGCCACGGATATTTGATGAATTATGGCGTATTTTAATTACTTATTTGATAGGCATCGAGTTACTATAATATGACTTCATGTACTGTAGGCTGTGATTTTTAATGTTGAAATCATCTTCAAAAACCAAAACATTTTGAACAAAGCAAGAAACAAAGAGTATGCAATGTAACCATCTAATTTATTTTCAAATCCTCATTCTTGAAAGTGAAATTCTATATTTTGGAAATTTTGCATGAAATCTGTCAACCACGTTGTCATGGTCGATGTTGCTTCACCTATCACGATGTATTCCAACCATCATGAGGCTATCTAAATAAGCATTTATCATAACAGAACGCAAATTATTTTTAATTAGTCTCATTGAATTATTATTATTATTATTGTTATTGTTATTGTTGTTGTTGTGATGAAAAGTTAACACAAACGATATGGTGGCTAAACGAATATTACATGTAAATATTTTTTTTTTATTTGTTTGTTCCCCGACAAAATTTATCGTCTTCCCCGGCGGGAGGGGGGGGGCTATGCTTCCCCGACGGGGGGCTATAGCCCCCCAGCCCCCTCTGGCGCCACCAGGGATGTAGATGGTTGAATGAATGGAATAGACATATAAGTATTACATAATGGTTGAATGAATGAAAGATTGAATGAATGAATCAATCAATGAAGGAATAAACAGATTAATTAGTGGTTTAATTAGTAATGGTGAGTGGATGTAGATCGATGAATGAATGGAATATAGACTTTACATAAGTAACATAATGTTTACATAGATGAATGGATGAATCATTGACTAAATACATCTATAAGTAATGAGTGGGTAAATTTATACATGTAGATGAACCAGATAATCTGATATTACAAACTCTCGCCCTGTTGCTACATATCTACGTACTGAAAAAATAATGGTCTGTGGTCGATATGCTTGATCTGCCAAACGAGGCCCAGCATCATAGGCCACGCGTGGCAAGCCAATCAATCTGGCGAGTTTGCACGCTGGCTGGACTGCTTCCAGTCTGCTGACCAGCCTGTTGCGGTTAGAATATATATAAATAACATTCTTAAATTTGTATCTTCCAATCAGCACCAAATTTGAGGAGGATTGAGATATATGTAACATTGTCAATGTGTGAAAATTTGGTCCAGTAGTTGTTTTGGAGTTTGTGCCCGGAAGAGAACACACACAGTGTGCTATTGCAATACCTTTCACATCTGCCTCGCAGAGGCGAGGGTAATATAAAACTCTAAACTAGTGGATGAATTGATAGATTAATAAAATAATACTTTAAATGAATATATGATTAAGATTGAATGAATGAATGGATAGATCGATGAATGATGAAACGAGTGAATTAAATATTTGATGGATGCATGGATAGACTGATGAACAGATCAATATAAAACACTTTAAATTCAAACTAAATTGCTTTTTTATATTTTTTGAATTTCCAAAACTTCCAACCTCAGCAGCAATAATGAAGACCTGATCTTTAATTTAGAAGTTTATAGCAAGTACTGTAGGCACATTGCAAACTGCAATTAACAGTTTGTAATGAAAAATGAAGCACCATAAACCTTGATCGTAACGACTTTGGTAGTAAATAATAAGTACTGTTTGAAGTGCTCCCTGCTACCGTAATTAAGCTTTAATGATGTTTCTGCATTTAGCTAGTAACTGTTTACATAACCTGAGATCATAATTTTGTTTAACGGGAAACAAATGCAGAGATGGAAACAAATTACATTGTGCACTGGTGAAACGTTTACAAAACGTCACCCAGTGATGGATCCAGGAATTTGAAATAGACAGGGCCTAGAAGGGACTTCCACAAGAGTCTAGACCACCTCAGCCCCAACATGGTTGGAGCTGAGGAAAGAAAAATTATGATTTTAGCCGGAAATGGCCCTCTCAGGCCTAAATTTAACTATAATTTTCCTTTTTTCCTCTATTATTTATATAATTTGGGAGTGGGTGGCGGGGGAATGGTGGGGTGTGCCGGCTCTGCTCCCCTTGAATCCACCATTGTTACCAATATTCTTAAAGTGTTGCGGCCAGCAAGAATGGAGAGTGGTCAGGGAAAAATTCCCATGTCGGACAAGCATGGACCCCCTCTAAGTCCAAATTATTTTGTTATTAGGTTGCCAACCTTATTTTGAATTTATGAATGTTAAAGCCTGTGTAAAAGTTGAAAAAAAAGCCTATTTTTTTGTTGATGGGTGATTAAAAGAGAAAAAATGTTGGTAACTGCAAACATTATGCAAATGAGGGCTGTTTGATGATCCATCCAATTACCCAAGTGCGATTATGCCTCATTGAATGCGAGGGCAGAAGAACGATAAATCCCGCATCAGTTATCACCTCCATACATCATTGATCACCGTGCCGTGAACCCAGTGAAAACATTCATCATTGAATGACTAAGCCATGAACTTTGTATATGTTTTCGTTAAATTTACTGTTCAATTACTATAATTAAATGATATTAGGTACGGACAGCGAGGCATTCATTTATATAAATCTTACAAAGAAAGTCTATTTTATGGTGACGTTAGAATGATTCAAACCAGACCTAACTTCTACTGTAGGTTGATAGAAGAAAGATTAAAGTGTGTTAATTTTATACAGGCCCATATCCGGAAGTGAGATGGGTGCGTGGTACCCCATCCCATACACTCCCCAAATCGAAATATGTCCATAAGATAGTCCAGGATGTACTGAATATAGATTTTGTTATTTTCTGTAATGAAGATTAAAAGGAGAATCTTGAATATTTACTTTAATGATCAATCGAAGGTTAGGCCACTATGTGTGCATTCAAGTTTCCATAGTAATGAAAAATCGAAGCTATAATCCAACCGGCCCTTCCACCTGACACTGCTAGGGATTCTGTGTACCCCAGTGTGGTCCAAACCCCCACTGACAGTCCTGAATATGCGGCCCTGGTATAGAAAGTAGACAACCCACTGTGAATGAACTTAATTGATTACTGCCCTTTGAACCCACATCAACATACATCATGAATATTTATTGGTTTATGAACCCAATGTGAACATGAATATCATCAAATTTTGTCTAGATCCTCTCCATAACTCTGTGTGGACATGCATCATTCATTTTCTGTGTGGTACATAATTTCTGTGATTAATCCACTGTGAACATAGTACATGCACTGGACCATTGATATTCAACAATAAGATTGCCTCCATGGACATGTGTGAACATAACGTTTTAATCCAATCTTTAATCTTATCATCAGCATTTACTATGAATAAATGAAGAAAGAAATATAAATATTAGATGCTGTATTCGTTGTACTGTGCTGTTTGTAATAATCTATTTCTTATTGCACTATGATTTTGGTTCAAGATTAATAATAGTTTTGATTCACATTATTTTTACAGAGTACATGAGGAGACCAATCTGAAACGTGGGGCACTGATAGAGAAGCTTTTATGGTTTCAAGAACAATTGGATTCTGACAAGACTTTCTACAGTAGAAAAGAGCTGTGTGAAATTATAGAAAAGTAAGTTCAATAGAAGGTATAGTAAACTAACTGACTAGAGCTTCAAGTGGTTTGCTGTCCAAGCCTTTAAAGTAGATTACCAATAAGCAGTAGTGGCACCAGAAATTTGCCGTCAGGGGGTCGGTCGGACATGCCCGATAGGGGGTTCCAAAACAAAAGAATAACTAGAGCCTCGGTTAGGGTCCCTGGAATAAAAATCCTTGGGTAATGTTCATGGGGAGGGTTTTAATGACGTAATGTGGACCAAAATTGTGCTTTTAGACTGCAATATTAAAGGTTGATGATGAAGGGGTCCACGCCCGTCCAATGTGGGAAATTGTTCTCCCTGACCCCTGCTCAATTAGTCCAGGGTGTCATAACCAAAACTGACTCACACAGAAAGGTGATTGTGATTATTATTGGGTGACACCAGTGGCGGCTGTAGAATATGTTTTTTTGGGGGGGGGGAGGGGGTTGCTGCGTGAGATAAGGATAATTGAGCCCGAGCCGGGGTGGTGGTTTGGTAGGTGGTGTCCCCTCTCTAAAATGAGATTTAAAAAAAAAAAATAAATAGGGAACTGGATAGCCGGAAATGGCACTCTTAGACTGTGACAGACATGTTGGCTTGGCGTAGGCCTTTCTTTTTTTTTTTGCTTCCGACTGCACGACAAGCTTTGGCCAGTGAGGGGGCTTGACCTGTCCGATTGGGCTGTGTGAGAAAGGATAATTAAGCCCAAGCTGGGGTGGGGGGTTTTGTAGGGGGTGTCCCCTCTCTAAAACAAGAAAAAAGAAAAAAAAAATAGGGACCTGCATGGCCGGAAATGGCACTCTCAGACTGTGACAGACATGTTGGCTTGGCGTTGGCTTTTTTTTTTTTGCTGACAAGCTTTAGTTAGTGAGGGGGCTTGACCTGTCCGATTGGGGACTTAAGCGTCCCTGCAGTGATTCCCCCTCCCCCTCTCTGGTGTTACAACTGGGTGACACTCAGCAAAACATTAGGCTTTGTCATTGTCGTTTTACTTGTAACTTTAATAGTCTTGTGACCTCATGGATGACTTTATTCCATGTATTACGATTATAACATGAATAGACTATTTGGCTGGTTCGATGAATCACTTCATCTGTCCGTCATCTGCTTCAAGAAAGAGTTTAGGGTTATGGCTGGTGAACTATCGTATTAGCATATCATTCCCTTGTTGCTCATCGACTCACAAAGATAAAACTTGAACAAACAGACTTGTTTTTGAGAGGTTTATCGAAGCTATTAGGACTAGATCTTCTTTAATGTCAATGTGCAAATTGTACTGAGCCTGTACAAACAGTGAATATCTTTACAGTACATTATCACGGTCCACAAAAGAGAACAAAAACAAAACATTATCACGGTTAGCTTCAACTATGGTGATGATCAGCTACAACCGGAGATCGTTGCTCATCTTGTTTTTATTTTATTTATTTGTTCTTTATACTGGGTGGACTCTTCAGTAAAAAAGACTGTTCTCCCAGAGTGCCCAGAATACACACAGATAAAATTAATGGAGAAAATAAAAAGTCCTAACAATAGAAAGTCAAAAAGACACCAAAAAATTAGAAAGTAAAAATATATAAATAGATATGTAAAAAAAAAAAAAATAAATATAAAAGTTAAAAAATTCCTAGTCCTAAGACCGAAAGGTCCACTGATAAAACTCAGATAAGACAGTATAATACATACTCCAAGCACAGAAACTAAAATAAATAAAAAAATAAATGTCCGCTGAGAACATGTGTGACGGACTCTGGCGAAAACCAGGCGCTTGTCAGCAAAAACCAAAGTCTTTTAATCAGCTAAAATACCCATGTATTGACCATTTTAATGTATGTTGGACTGAAAATGTAAATCATCATATCTTTGCCGTTTGTTTAATTCATTTTTAACATTTTTGCATCAATTATTATATTAATAGCTTTTCACTACAAAGGTGTCTAATAATGTCATTTTTCATTTTTTTGAGACCAAGAGCCTGTTTTGCTAGAGTGGGTCACACGAGGGCGTGCCATCGCAAAACCGGCGTACTGTCGCTGATTTTTAAAATGAGTAATTAGCATAAGAATGTGACAGTATTGTATACTTTAGTACAGAGAAGCTGTAATACTTTTACTTATAACTTTGGAAATAGTAAGTCGATTCCACTAAATGACCCCTAAAATCATTTTAAAGCTTGCAATGTGCAGAATAAGAATATTAAAAAACTCAGTTTCATTTTTTTGTCACTGATGCTTGGTTTTGGGAAGGTAGGCCCTCATATGAGATGCAATTCAACAACAGATATGGTTTTTAAGTTCCTAAATAGCACTCATTAACTAATGTTCAAGGACTATAACAGAATAGTCAGTGGAAGATGTACCCACATAGCCCTGAATGGTGATTCTGTGAACTTAACTTAATAATGTGCTTCTGATTATTTTTAGCTTAGTGTGTGCATGTTCGTAAATCTTAATTCTCATCAGTATAGAGTAAGCATGTTTTATGTCTCTACTGATATTGTAACAATTCTGCATATTGTCTTTTATGAAATATTATCTTATTATCATTTTTCTCCAAGTAACATATTTTATCGTAGCTTTCTTATAATCTTATCTTTATCATTAATCTTCCTATAAAGACTTTTTATGCATACATCAATCATTTTTTTTTAATTATTTAATTCCATTAAATATTTGATTGCACTTTGCAGATATTTAAGGAGATTTGACGAAGAGCTCGAACAAATTGATATCATAAAAAGCTTGAAACATCGTAAAGGACGCCAACATGCGTCTCGAGAAGATGTGATTCTGGCAACATTAGCAAGAGAAAAGGAGGCATACACAACTTCAGGCCTAGGTAGATTCATCAATAATAATTTTAAAATAAAAAGCAAAAAAACAATTATTTTACATTTGTAATACAAATTTCTATAAGACATCACTTATTATTTTTGTTTTTATTGTTTTTGATTATTATTATTATTATTGTTATAACATTTTGTTATATTATTTATATTAATATTTATTTTATTACAGTATCATTGTTTCATGTCAAGCTAAGGTCAGATGCTAACAGAAAGCAGCTTATGAAATGCCCTTGTGTGTGAACAGGACTACCAGGCACTTTTTACTCACTGGGAAGACAATGTTAGATTGTGTTCACATTGATTTGGAAAAAGGTCAAAAGGTCTTCAATTTCCGATAAATCAAAATGAAAACTTAATGGGTTGTCGGAAGACTTTTTTATCCACCTGATCTCAGACCACTTCTCAGCCTCCCTCAAGACGCTAAATTACAGCAAACAGATATTAGTGAAGAACTGAAATAGTGTGATTAATTAGGTATTGTAACGAATACCAAGATTACGTATACAGATTGCCCATAAGAATAATCACCTACTAAAATTACCCAATTATCAAAAATCATTTTACTCGCTACATCGGGAATTTACAGGTTTTAATGTAATGGTCACGTATGATTTATTATAGATTTTTTTCATTTCCAATAAATTTCATTGATTTAGTAGGAAAAAATATGAATCGTAATAATAATGAACAATTATTGTCATGTTTTGACAAAAAATAATTGATTTCAAGCTCTGAGGAACCTTTTTATTTTCAAAATAATAGTTCCTTTGGTTTCTGTTTTCCAACTGGACCTGAAATGTGTTCAATTAAATGAGTAATTTGCCAGATATGGGTCTGTTGAACATTGTCATCTTAGTATCATCATCATCAGCATGAACCTGTTTTCCACTAGGAAAATTTATTTGTGCGAATCAAAAGTGTTGTTTCGCTTCCTGAGCTCTAATTGGTTGCACATTTTATGCATTTCTCAAAAAAAAAAGAGGCAGTTCGAACTACTAATTTCGCTGAAGCGAAAAACTCGGATAGAAATGTGAATATGCATAAACCAACACTTTTGCCAAGTAGATAACAGACTTTAGGCCCCAGCTGTCGTTTGCATCCTCATCAAAGATCTTATAAGTACATGATAGCGTTCTCTGTGATTCTACGCATAACAAATAGAAGCGTCAATGTTCAGTAAAAAGAAGCATAAAAAGTAATCATATTTGAAGAGGGCACCATAGTTGTTACCATGGTTGTTATAGAACTTGCAGGCAGATGCGCTATCTTTAGTTAACAGTTTCTGATGTGAAAGTTAAAAAAAATAATTACTTTTGCATTAAGGGGCCCTATACTGTGTTATTACAGACTTTGCATGCAGAATCGCTATCTTGTAATTATAAGATCTTTGATCCTCATCTGCTCCATCAATAATGTTTGTGAGAGCAGCATAGTATAGCTCAGTTGGCTAAACATGCTGTAGCCAATCTGTGTGCACCAAACACTGAAACATGAAGTCCCTGGTGTACAGTATTTATAATACCGTAGTTTCTCTGGTATAAGCCAAAATTGTTCTTAGCTCTGAAGATGAACTCTAGAAACACTCGCCTGATTGAATAATAGATCTTTTTTAGCTCTAATGCCTCTATTATACTGCCCTCATGAGGCTGATTGGCTAATAGTTGATTGATCAATAGATCTTTATGAGATCTACTGCCTCTCTTATACTGCCCTCATGAGGAGCTCTAGAGACACTCAGCTGATTGATTAATAGTTAATTAATGGATCATTTTTAGATCTACTGCCTCTATTATACTGCCCTCATTGGAGCTTTCGTGATTACGAGACATTGCTTTATTAGAAAATTGATCCAACTTCTTGTCTTACAATTTTATGTGGTGGCCAATCATAAGGCTTATATGCAAATTACTGTAGCATGAATCCAAAATCAATGTTTATGCTGTTGTTTGTGTACATACCGTAAAACCTTGAATAGAAGCCCCATGGGCTTAATCTCGAGAGAAAGCCCATCTTGAAAAGAAGCCCCCCCACCCCGAAACCCCTCTTTATTTTACAAACATTACAGGAAAAGAAGCCCATTGGCTTATAATGAAGATGATATGTGCCTCTTTCGGGATTGTCCTTACATTCAGACTGACGTTATATTTGATGATGATGATAGTGTCATTATCAATAGTATTTTATCATACTAGTATGGTTAAAAATTTTTAAATATTAAACAGAATTCTAAAATTTACAGCATTCACTTTGAAAAGAAGTCCCCCCTTTTTTTAGTTTGCAAAAGTAATCTCGAAAAGAAGCCATCTCAAAAAGAAGCCCATTTCGAAAAGATGGCCATCCAAGGTTCCTGAAAAATAGAATAAGCCGAGATCTTCTATTACAGGTTTTACGGTATTGCTTTTGAATGACAATTGACCAACGAATCCGTCTCCCCTCACTGTTTGTATGTAATAATCTAAAGGGATCATCAAAAAAATTTTTTTTTCTATATGGGATGACATTGGCGGACAACAATCGGAGCAGTGTATGCCCTTTTTTAAGGAACTCTGTATACTTATTAAAGAAAGAAATGGGTGACACATAAAGTCCGCACCTCACTACTATATTAAAAAGAGGTACAGTTTTCTAATGAAGAAATGTAATAATTTTCTTGAATACCATGTTTTGTATTACAATATAATAATCATTTTATCCAATTTGCTTTTGTTTTTAGAAGTTCCAGACGTTTTGTCTGTCCATGGATGTGAAATTTTCAGAGCCTGGAATGGAGAGGCTAGATATCTGCAGACATTGAAACTTACAAAGATAACTGCCATGGAAAAAGAAGGCGAAAATAAAACTACAAATTTAGTTGACAGAGAAGATGCAGAATTGAAAGATATTACCGATGATGCTAGTGATCTAATAAATAATCAAACCGAAAAAACTTGTATAAAGTGATGTTAAAATCATTCATGAATAAACATTAAAGAAAAAAAGGAAGATTATTAATCTTTTGTACCTCAAAGCTTTTGTTGATTATTATATTTAATTGAATTTAATTCAAGGAATTGAAGCATCAAGGAATATTTATTGTCGACAATACAGCATGATACAGTCGAAATTTCGATCCAGGTGCTTAAACAATGGGTTAAGTATACATATATTAAAAATATATTTAATGTTATATTAATATTTTTAGTTTTAGGATGTTAAAATTTAGGTAGTTGTCATGTTTGAAAAATTTATAGATACATTTGATTAATAATTTTATTTATTTTTTGTTTTTATTATCTGATTTGATTCATAATGCTGGTACCCAATATGAACACCGAGAGGTGACACAGTGAAGGCAATACAAAAGTAATTTTGAATCAATAATCATATAGTTTAGAACTCTAATGCTAAAAGCAGC